TCATTCAATATATCTAAAGGGTCCTTTGTCTTCAGAGCTTTCGGCTAGGTCTGTATTGCTTTATAATGAATTGAAACGTCACATTAAATCTTAGTCTATTTCCATTTTCGCAATGGTCTGTCATGATTAACACTTGAATTTCATAACACTGTTAAGCATGTTGTTATTACTATTCTAAATCCTTGATTGGTTATTCACTGGATGATGATCGAACGTTTCGGCCAACTTTACTTAAACTGTACAGAAATTCTGATACACCTTACTGTTCTAGATCTTATTACAGTTGAATTCACTGGTTGATCTGAGCTAGACCACCACGGAAAACCTGGAAGCACTGGAAGATCATTTTGTCCAGTCTGAGACTCCTCTAATGCCTAATCACTAATCTCTCACTCATACCCAGCTCAGTGGTCTAGAGGTTGAGCGTTCGCACGTGAGACTGAAGTTTCTGGATTCGAGTCATGTGCACTGCTGAAGAGTCTTACACCAGGACAAAATAGCCGTCCAATGCTTCCAGGTTTTTCATGGTGGTCCAGCTCAGATCAACCCGTGAATTCAACTGCTAAAATACTACATTCCCCACAAATCCCGTTACTGTTCTAGATTTCTTTGAATCTAGCTCACATGATATGGTAAATAGTTTATTATTTTTCGAGATCCCAAACCTTAGAAATTTCAAATGAAAATATTACACTCATTGAACAAAAGGGGAGACAAATTGATTGTAATTCATGAATTTAATATACAGTTGACAAAAACGTATTTATACTACTTTACTAGATAGTGAGCGTTCACTAGTGATGAACGAAAATATCAAACATCGAGAAAGCGTTTATAGAGTATTATTGCCTGATAATTATAACTTTTATGTGTATTGTAAGGAAACTTATTGAGACATTACACAACTGATGACGAGAATTATATGCTGTAACACGATGTATAGTGACAATCAAGGTTATTTTTTACTATTATCAACGTTATGGATTACAATGATTGAAGGAGGCTATTAATCAAGGGAACAAAATAATGTTGACTGCACTTAGAATTTCCACACGTGGTTATGTTTCTACAAATCAATGTGTTTCAAAGGTACATTATATTATAGACAAAGATAGTAAAATAATATGATCTGTTACTTTTCGATTCTGCATAAGATAAATGTTATTTATGTTGAGGTTTCTAGAGGTCTCAAGACTCATAGAAGGTCTTAAATTCGACTTCATTTCGAAGGGTAAATTTACATTATACATCTGTTTTCAGACTTGCTTTCATCACTCACTAGTCTTCATTAATCATTTAGTTGAGATTATTTCTTTATAAAGATGTGCGTCAAAATGAATAAAATTCACAAAGCTTCAGCTTCTCAACGAGGAGTCTAGTGTGATTGAGGAAAACAACCGTTTTTCGGACGTTAATAAATGCATCAAATATAATAATTATTTCATATAGTGAATAGCTTGAGCGTTTTCAAAAAGTATAAAAAGATATATTCTATTTCCGTATTAAATCAGCTTCAAAAGTAAGAAATATTAGTAATTTCATCAATCCTGGAAATAGTGAATATTCTAGCTACATTGCATATTTTAGGCCTTGGTTTTGTTTATCATTTCATAACTCATTACTTACTTACGCGTGATACCCCTCATGGAGGAGCATGGGCTGTACAACAGCGTTCTTCATCCAACCGTGTGCCAAACAATCCTTTCCACTTCTTTCAAGTTGTTATTCATCCTTTCCATATCTGCTTCTATTTCTCGGCGTAATGTGTTCTTTGGCATTTCTTTTTTCCGCTTTCCCTCATCATTCCAAGTTAGGGATTTCCTTGTGATGCAGTTTGGTGATTTCCTTAATATATGTCCTATTCACTTCCAACATCTTTTCCTGAATTCCTCTTCAGATGGAAGCTGGTTTATTCTCTTCCATAAAAGAATGTTGCTGATAGTATCCGGCCACTGAATGTTGAGTATTTTGCGTAGTTCTCCACGTTTCGGCTCCGTGCAGTAGGACTGTCTTGAGGTTCGTATTGAAGATTCTCTCTCTGAAGTTAGTCGGTAGTTGTTTCTAGTTCCATACTTTTTTAATTGTAGAAATGCCAACCTTGCTTTACCAATCCTCGTCTTTACATCTGCATCCGATCCTCCTTGTTTATCAATGATGCTTCCAAGGTACGTCAATGATTCCACCTCTTCCAGAGTTTCGCCATCAAGTGTGATTGGGTTGGTATTCTCCGTGTTGTATTTGAGAATCTTGCTTTTTCCTTTTTGCATGTTGAGGCCTATTGATACAGAGGCTACTGCTACATATCCTGTTTTTGTCTATATTTGTTCATATGTACGAGATAGGAATAAAAACTTATGGAAATAATATAATCAACTACAGTTTGTTTGATGTTAATAGTTATATTGAATTCATTAAAAGATCTAAGTATGTACACAATTGTACTATCACAAACATGCATGTATGAATTTCCAAAAGGTACCTTGAATTGTAGTACAATGACATTAAACTAGAGAAATAAATGGAAATTTACAGTTAGAAAGCATCAAAATAATCAATATATGTTGACTACCCCCTTTCATGTTACACTAAAGAAATTTCAAGAATTTCAATCGAGATTTTTAGCAATCCATATTCAAATTATAACTAGACAGAGACTTTTGAATTCATGTAATGACTGAATGTTTTATTACCAAATTATATCTATCTTTATGATTTATGAAATTTCTATTTTTGATTTCTTAAACCGGAAATTCATACTTTTTCAAGACCTATCATTTAATCCGTATAAGTTAGAACTTTTCTATGAAAAGTCTTCTCTTTAATTCAGATCAGAAAAAGATCTAATATAGATAATTAATATAGTGCATTTCTGAATATTTGATATTATACATACAATGAATTAAGGGATCTAATCAAATGGTTTTCAATCAGTAAACATCATAAACTACATCTTGAAATGTTTTTGATCCTTATCTCTGTAAAATGATGTAGGATAATTAATCTAATAACTGTTTTGATACATTGATTTACAAGAACTGTTGGCTGTTTTAAAATGCATGTCATTTGCTTCCGGATTTCAACGACTATTTTTACACGATAAACACGAAATGAAACTGTTCTTGTCTTTCGAAGTGATATACTTCAATAAGTAACTGATTATTAGTTTATTAAAGTTAATCATTGAGGCTTGTTTATTTTCAATTTCAATTTCATCATTGCATGAATTCGATATTCAACTGATATCAGTTCATTAGGGAACTTAACTAAGATTGTGTTAAAAATGTAAACTAAAATTAAATAATTATAGATATCATATGAAATGAAATATACTTCAAATAATAAGTCAAACCAAGTAATGTAAAGGAAAAAGTCGACCAATTGAACTGATACAGTTACATATATAAAAACTCTCGTCTAAATTAGAGCGAATAGTTTCACAGTATTTGAGCGCCGAGTTGATGTAAGACATTAAATAAGAATAATATATATTTGTAGAATCTCAGCTAATGAATTTGTAGTAAATCCAACGTTTCGCCTGACAATCTGGTTCAAGCTTTTTCAAGGAATTATAATCAAACATCAAAATTATCGAATATAAATAAGTACATGGTTCTTCGTTTCGTTGTAGACTGAATAGGTCATCCAATCAACGTTAATAATGTCAACACTGGGTTTATATATTAGTGTGTAAGAGATTTGTGATGTGAAATGATGTGTTAATATAACATATTGTATAGAAACGTAAATGGTGAGAGGAGAAATTTGATTCACACCATATATTGTCTCTTATCAATGAATTTATAAGAAAAATACACAATTTGTGGTATATACATTTACATTTTCACAAAATCCAATTATATAAATAAATGGTTGGTTATGATATATCCTGTTGTGTATAAGAAAATGTAATGTCATAGATTGACATTTAAGTATTCCCATAAGTTAATTTAACACATAGTTCGCTCATTTAATAAACGTTATATTCGTGTAAGTATATGAATAAATCATGATAAAGAGAAAGTGAATGGGTCATGCCGAAGTCACGCTAACCGTAAAAGATGGGTAAATGAAGCAACTTTTACGCTGTCTGAAATTAGTAATCATGTCTGAGAAAAAAGCAAATAGTCTTTATAATTCAGTTATTTTGCAAACCGTTATTCTTAATACCAAAAAGTTGATTACTTTAGCTATGAAAAGGTTTTGAAAATGAACGCAATATCAAGGTTATCAAGATTTTTTGTAAATCCATTCAAAGCATAAAATATGCTGACCTGTAGATTATTTGTAGTTGATCACTTATTAATGATCACCGAAAAGACATGTTAGTGTACTCAGTCATGTAATACGGTAATTGTATTTGTAAGGTGGGCATAATATTTTTTGGCAGGTGATGTTAACAGCCAATGTTTTTTAAGTGCACAGCCTTTCAAATGAATGATCTGAATTTTTTATTTTCATTAGTAAATAGCATTGTAAATGTTAATTAATTAGAAAGACTGAAATTATATTTCCAAATCCAACAGTTTCCTTTGTTAAACATACTGGACGAACAATGAAAAACTATGTACATTTTCCGTCACAAAGACATAATAATTACTCTTAAACTGTCAAACAGTAAATCGCTGAATGTTGAAAAAGTAAACTTCTTTGACAAGCATATGTGTAATATAGGTTGAATGAAGTGTCAATGAACAAGCCTATGTCTAGTGAAATAAATTTCTATTTCAATGATATGACTTAATGTGAATAAGGTCAATTGTATCAAGTAACCATTATGTATTTAGAATATCGTATTTCAATCTGTTAAGTTAAACTGTACAATTATTTATCAAATGTCTAAATGACATTCATCACTGTATCGAATTTTTGCTATGTAGTGATAAATCTCATATGAAACATTATTATTACATTTCGTATGTTCCATTATTATTATTATAACTATTATTATTATGATTATGATTATTATTATTATTATTAATGACTTGTTAGATATGTAAGTCTTCATTATATGACGTTGTTTTCTGTACGGAATCGTTTACTGAAACCTTTAATTTGAAAAACCTTAAAAGCTGTTGACAAAATTATAAAGTGATCGATAATCACTTTATTATTATTAATCTAGAAAAAGTTATTTTACATCTTCATTACTATGGAATTGTGATGAATGATCAGTGTATGTTCACTTGACCTTAGCAATACAAATTATCTTGTTGTACTAATGAACTGATCTCAGTACAATCGTCTACCTTAGCTAAGTGAAAAGAGATTGGAATGATCGTACACACCTTTGCATATACTTTTGTTCGACAGATTAATGTTTATTATATGACGTTGTTTTCTGTACGGAATCGTTCACTGAAACCGTAAATTTGAAAAACCTGGAAAGCTGTTGGCATGGTAATAAAGTGAGCGATGATAATTATTAATCTACAGCTTAATTACTATGGAATTGTGATGACCGATCAGTGTCTGTTCACTTGACCTTAGCAATAGAAAAGATCTTGTTGTACTAGTGAACTGATCTTACTACATTTCTCTACTGTACCTAGTAACCAAATCATATGAATGTGAAATGAATTATTGATGGTTTCATGACTCCTCCTTAAAATGGAAACAAGAAATTCAAACAAAATTTAGATCAAATTGTGGGTGGCCCTGAAAAGGGCCTGAAGACGACGTAGTTGAGGCTCGCGACCCAGCACAGCCCTGCTACGGCATTCAGTGGAGTACTTTTGAACTCGAGCTTCTATCCAATATCCAGTGCGAAGCAGAACACTAAATATCGATCTGAACACGGGTGTTTTTCTGTTCAGCTTATGCAACTTTAAAATTCGATGGGTCGTCTCAACGAAATTTGTATTGCTTTGATCTAGAAGCATTGCAGCTGGTCTAAAAGCGTTCGACCACTTGTGCTTTTTGGACAATAACTGATCTCTCAAATATTGATAGAAATTCCCGTCTGCTGCTTCGATAAATGACACATACCGTTGGAAGCTACAATACATTGTAAAGCATATTTCGATTTACCTTTCCACATTTCTTGTTAGCATAAGACGGTAGAACATCTGAAGAAGATCAGATCGTAGCCTCTACGAATACGATGAATGGGTTATTTGTAAAGAAAGGAAAGCTTACCCTCTTGATGACATTTCGAAGAAGGTGCACGCGGCACAAAAGGTGGTGTGAATTGGGATACACCTGCGTTATGGCAGCAGCTATAGCAGGTGAATCGTCGGTAACAATACCGATAACCTCTCTATTGTTACTCATTTGGCGGAAGAACGAGAGGAAACTGGACAGCAAAGTCGATGTTTCGCGACTTACAAATGCAATACAAACAGGTATTGCCATGAAATTCATGTCCAAAGCCACCACGTGATAAAGAAACATGTTTTCATTATTGGTTTTGTATGTCCCATCAAAACCAACAACATCTAAAAACCTGTTACACAGATTGATCTGGTCTGCTGTAGCGAAGAAGAAGTACAACAGACTATGATCTGCATCCAATTGATAATCACAAAGGCCACCAAGTGACGTGATGTGATTTTTCAACTTACCGTAATCACCTACAGTTAATAGTATAAATATGCACATTGCTTACCAGGGAGGTTGGCCTGTGAGAACACTTTGTAACGCATATTGAAAACATCTTGAGCTGTAAGACGTTTCCCATATGATTGGTAAGCGTAGTGTATCACATTGAATGCTGATGTTCCAGATATCAGCAGTGGCTTCACTGATTCAAATTCCGCTCCCGTTAAACGGCGCATCCATGTGTTACAGTCGTACCTCAGGGAATTGCACTCGTGATTGTGATGCACATTCCCACGAACAACAGTCCAATAACCTTCAAGAAACTTACAAAAGATGAAGGCCGGACATTGTGTGTCCATTGAAGTCCTCAATGAACAATATAATAACACTAATCAATTTACCTCCTTCGTCTAATCGGCTGCGAAGAAACGCTTGGTGTTTTATAGCTCTTTCTCCAACATACAAATTTAATATACGGCTTCCGATCTCCATGGAAATTAGAATCTCTCACCGCATAATGGCAGTACGTTGCTATTTCATAAGTTCTAATGGCGCTCTTTAACGCTTCCAGTGATGGAAACGCTACCAGATACAATGTATTCAAAAATACATTTTCAGTTTCTGTGACTACGTGAGGAACAACAGAGCCTCTAATTTGCACGTTACTGACGTCCATATTGTGAAGAAAATTATCTATATCCATAAGTACAGAGCTTTTATACGAATTTCAAGAATTACATAACCAATTACAACGCATTTACAACTAGGAATTTCATTGGACGAAAGGGATTGAAAAAAATTGGAAAATGGGATGAAAATTTTTTGATTAAGGGGGACAAAAAAAATTATTAAAAAAAAATTGAAGTGATCCTAATGTTATTCGACATTGTATACATCTATTCATCATTTGATATCTTTGTAATCGTTACTTTTTAAACAATAACTTATTATACTACATTTTGCGGCGAAAATTACAAAGGAAACCTACTATAACAATTTGGGAGTTCATTTTTATTAATACAGAGCGTTTGGATACAGTTGACATTTATATAGATCAGAGGGGGTTTTGTGGAGAATTTAGTATTTTCACAGTTGAAATCATGAGTCAATTGAAGTTAGACCACCATCGAATACCTGGAAGCACTGGACGGCCGTTTCGTCCTATTATATAGATGTTTTTTTTAAATTACTGATCTTATATTTCGATAATGCAATGAGAAGACGAAGATTATCAGAACTATGCGATATATTAGCGCAATACATTTCGAACAATCTGATCACACATATACTTGTTAAGAACATTTATATATAAAAATAAAAGGTCAACTAGACTGGAAAAGGGGTAAGAATAGACAAGGATAATAATGATAAAATAATGTGAAAACAATTTGACACCTAATCACTCTGGATAATAAGCATATATTACCAGGGTAGGCTTAAAGAGAGAACAAACTGTTTTTGAATACACAAAGGGGGGTTGAATTTTCGTATGGCTAAGGCTTCAACAAACCTTAGTATACGCCCTTTTACACTTTTAAACAACACCACAAAAGCCGAGTTTAGATCAATCTTATGACCTGTTTCGATTATATGTTTAGCAATAGATGATGATGGATGTTTATCCTCTACTCTTATTGGGTCATTCGACTGTATTTGTTTTTGCAACCATTTTGGTACATGTTCACCCACCCTAATTTTCAGATCACGATTGCTCCTCCCTATGTATGTGTGACCACACACACATTTAAATTGGTAAACACAGTGGGATGTGACACAATCGTTTTCATTTCGTCTAGGTTTTGAATGAAGCATGGACCTCGTTCTTTCCTTGATTATGACTTTCGCAGCACAATACGTTTTGTTGATAACAGATTTAAGCCTTTGTTTCAATAAAAGGCTATTTGAATCACCTCTAAATGGTAAGGTGATGTAGACAGGCTTTTTCTCTACCAAGGCTACAGTAGGTCTCGCTGTGCCCTGAACTTTCCATCTATTGATAAATTTAGGTGGATAGCCATTCCCAATTAATGTCTTAGTTAACAACCTAACATCGTCATCAATAGCGTCATTTGTGCAAATACGACGAAGCCTGTTAAAAAGGCACTTTACCAAACCACGTTTGTATTGTACAGGGCAATAACTATAGTAACTAAGATATTGACCCGTCCACGTCGGTTTTCGAAAAATGGATCGTTTTATTGAGCCATCTTATCGTCTGTTTAGAAGTACATCTAAGAAGAGAAGCTGGTCGTTCTTCTCCTCTTCACATGAAAGACTGATATGGTTTTGGATAGTATTAAATTTATTCAATAGGCAGTTTATATCCTCCTTTCTTTCACCAATTACTAAGATATCATCTACATATCTCTTATAAAGTGACATGTTTTTGATTAAGTCTTCAGATAAATTTTCCACATGTGCCATAAACACATCTGCTAGTAATGGTCCTAACGGACTACCCATAGCGACCCCATCAATCTGGCGAAAGTATTCGCCTTCAAAAGTGAACTGAACTTTATCAGTACATAAAAGTAATAAATCTTTAAGAAATTTTAAGGGGATAGGTAAATTAAGGTTGTTTGAAGATATATAGTCACATAATATGTCAATAGTCTTTTTTAAAGGTACATTGGTGAATAAGGAATTCACATCATATGAGCACATAGGTTTTCCTTTGATATTAATGTCACCTAAATGATCGACCAATTCAAAAGAATCCTTTAGAGAATACTTACATATACGTCTTCGAATAGGATCCAATAATTTTGTTAGCCATTTGGCTAGGTTATGTGTGGGTGATCGGCACATTGATAAAATTGGACGTAAAGGAATATTTGATTTGTGAATTTTAGGTAGTCCATATAAATGAGGATACTCTGAACCCATAGGTTTTAAGAGATTAAATTCCTCTTTATCGATAATATTCATGTGAAGCAATTTTTCTAGGTTTGCATTTACTCTTCCCTCTAGTTTGTTAATACCTCCAAATTCAACATCAGGCATGAATTTACATTCATCACTGAGGATGGATAACATCTTACCCTTATATTCACATTTGTTCATAATAACCACGCCTGATCCTTTATCAGGCTTCAACAAGACAATATCTTTGTTTGTTCGTAATTCTTTTAGTGATTTAAAATGTTGAGAAGTTAATATGCTTTTCTGCTTAGGTCCAACATTATGAAATTGGTGTGCTATATCCACCAGTTTAGCTTTACACCAACTTTGATTACTTAAGGACGTAGGGGCGTATACTAAGGTTTGTTGAAGCCTTAGCCATACGAAAATTCAACCCCCCTTTGTGTATTCAAAAACAGTTTGTTCTCTCTTTAAACCTACCCTGGTAATATATGCTTATTATCCAGAGTGATTAGGTGTCAAATTGTTTTCACATTATTTTATCATTATTATCCTTGTCTATTCTTACCCCTTTTCCAGTCTAGTTGACCTTTTATTTTTATATATAAATGTTCTTAACAAGTATATGTGTGATCAGATTGTTCGAAATGTATTGCGCTAATATATCGCATAGTTCTGATAATCTTCGTCTTCTCATTGCATTATCGAAATTTATCAAAGGGACTAATTGCTTTAAATTTCTTAAAAGAAGACTCCCTGCACATACTATAGAGAGGTTAGATGAACTTGTCAACCTTAAATGATCTTATATTCTTTTTTTTCAAGCTGCAAACTACCATTTCTCGTATATTTCAATAATGAACTAAGAATAAGCTTATCAAGTACATGGTTATTTGAGTTATCTTTTTTCTCACTATTAACGTAACTTCGGTTTCTTTGTCAAGTGCCTATAAAATGAAACACTAGCTTTTATATGACATGTAATAATTTCCAAATCATTTAGTTAAATAATCATTCAAATAAACGATTATCATTATTTGAACTTTATGGCATTACCAGAAACTAGTGTTTATCAATACCTAACAAGAACAAACTCGTTATAACTATTTCAATGGAATAATTACTAAACCATATTTATTTGTTTAATAAGCTGATGCATTATAAAATCAAGGATATAACATTCACTTTTCGACTAACAATATAGCTACTTAAAAAACTATACATAAACGACAAACATTGTCATACAACTAATCTCACTAAGAAATTCTGGTGCTAAGAATTCAATGGATTAAAACAAATGAAGACAAAGTTTACTAATGTGAACCAAAGATGTTAATTATTCACATTTAAATCAATGATTATGTATCAAAATTAAAGTTACATATTTTTATTAGAATTCATGAATTAATGGCAATAATACATTCGACAATTTAACTGCAAAACTGATTTTATTCAGACTGATAGGTCTTGGGTCCGAATCTCACGAGGCGAGATCGTGAATGCGCACTGCTCAAAACGACGATCCCTTCAGTCAATTAGGAATAGTCTCCGAAATCTAGGATTCGAAGTCCTTTTAAGGAAGTGGATGCAATGAAACCTTCATTAGAAACAAGTGATTAATACATATATCTAACGACTAGTGATGAATGAATAGTAAATTATTTATCAACTGAAATGCTTAATGATTGTTTACTATTTCCTTTGATATATAGCGAAAACACTTTGACAGGAGACTTCTTATCAGCAAGTTCTCCTTAGTTTTTAATTAAGTTATTTTTCATATTTATTTGTAATGTACACATGATTAGTTGATTATATCTTTATTAAAATCGAATGTCGAAGATATAATTTGAAATAACTTAGTCTAGTGAATCACTGAAAAATAAATCATTATTTAACAACTGTTTTGTCCTGATTCAATAAACATTAAAAGAACATATATGCAATTACAATGAATGGCTAACTTAAGCCGTATCATGAATAGGACGACCGCAAGGTTATAAATATATATATCCTATATAAAATTATACATATGGGAAAAAACACTTGAAAATTAAAAAAGGCTTGTTCCAAACTAGGGCAAAGTTATAATGTTATCTCTAAAATATAAATACATTTATCACAATGTTACTATTTGTTGAGAAAATGTCTGCTAATAGTTCTTCTCTCTCAAAAACGTCTTATATAGATATTGATGCTGTTGGGACGGTCTCTAGAGGTCTTGAATGAGCCGAAGAGTTTCCATCCAACCAGAACATAATAAAGCTTTCTAGTATATCAATGTGGCATGCTACTACTGGACAGTAGCATAACACGCCTCTTTGTGGACTGGCTGAATTAGAATGTTGATATAACAAACTCTAATATCTATAAATACCCGTAATTTTCTGTACATTTAGATTCTTACCCAACAAGCACTTTCACAATCTTCATCTATCTTCTGATTTGCTACTGTATGGTTGCCTACGTTCGAGTTTCGTAGCTGTTTACTGTATTCTGAGTTAATCAAGTAGCGAATATAACAGGTACCTTAAACAGTTAGGGTGAAATTATTCATCTACCATATATTATCTAAAGTAAGGAAGTCAATTGATCATACATGATAGTGAAAAAGATGTATAATAAATATATCTCAAAATACAGTAGACTAACACAAAGTTGACTATTATGTATTTTTCTTTTAAAAACATACTTCATACTGATACAGTGAATAATAATACTATTTGTATCAAATTATATGATTAAATCTGAATACTATAACTCAAAATGAACAAATCGGTAAATGTAAAATAACTTTATAATGATTCCCATTTATCTGATTAATAAAATAAGTTAAGTTATCAAAAATAAAGTTTTTCAATTTTATCTGACCAATTAATTTGTGTTCATTATGTTGTTATTTGGAGTTGGAAGCAGTCGACGCGATGCAGTTGTCACTACAGTTGATGGTATTGTTTTGATTGGTTGATGTGTTTCAATATGTTTTGATACAGTTATATTCTTATCATTATAGTGGTTGGAATATTTGTTAAGTCTCTCCCTACAGTTGTTACTAGAACTATTAGTTACATCAATTTGAGGTTCCAAATGGGCATTTGTGTTAGATACAAAACTATCAGATTTAGCACTGTTAGACAATGGATGTGACAAAACTTCGTCAACCCATGCTACACTGCGCTGTGTACTGAAATTAAATAAACAAAAACAAAGCAAGATGTTAGTTTCCTTTTGTTATTTGAATTTAACAAATAAGGATAGATACTTCTTCCAGTGTAACATTAATATAATCCTAAAATAGATGCTGTGATTATGACTACTAAAATAACTTTTTTATTATCAAAGTCAGTGTTTAGGAAGTAGTTCACTATTTATCTCTTTAACAGTCTCAATCGTATTGGAACATTAATACGAGAATTTATTTGGATGTCTATTTCAAAGAAGTTTGCCATTTAGTTATCGATTAAATAAAGCACCTACGAAAAATAGCTATTTTCTGATGAGTCAATTATACACTGATAATCAAGGGGACTAAAATGAGAAAATGGTGGTATTATTCTGTTATCAAATATGACATGCTTAAAGCTGTTTTGAATCTGCTTAATGGTAAATCACGCAACAGTTTATTATTAACAAGATTTAAATGAATATGAAGGTCATTTATGTCTTCTGTATTCACAAACTTCAATATTTTTATTCACTTTACTTACTCATTTACCTGTCTACTTATTATATAGATAAATAAAATTACTTGCAAAGCACAAATGTCAACTACTTTTATAATATAGAGTTACTCTGATTTCAAGTTGCTGTCCAAATAATTACAATTTTACGGTAATCTGTAAATTCAATCGGGACAAAAAACAACATGAGATTAATTACCAGAAAGTTACTGACTAAAGCGTAATTGGTTGGTCTATTGAATATACTGTACAAACTGTTACAGCTCTAGATTTAAGCATTTGATATGGAGACCGACTAAAATTCATCTCTCTAAAGCCTGTATTCTCTCAAAGTTAAAATGATTCCATCATGACGAATTTTGCTATATCTGGTTTCCTTTTTAAAGCATATTACCATTTTTGTTTGGCTAATTGTAAATTAGAATCTGAAAAGTATCTTGCTGATGGAAAATAGAAAAACGGATCAATAATCAGTGTTTAACATCATGTTTGTATAATCCTCAGTGATGATCAAATTTTATTGTTCAGGTTATTGTATGATTAGATGTCTGAGTGACATGAAACGTCTTGCAATAAGTCTTAGAGAAAAACGATTAAGAGTAGTTGACAGGATTCTGTATACATACGACGCGTCGTAGTTTTCAGTCTACAACTAGATATACACAAAGGGGAGATTCAGTCCCTTCAAGCTTATAATCACTTAATGTTGATGTAATTGACTCATTCGTGACCTAGGTACATGGCTTTCTTCTGGCTACCTCTAAATATCTAACAATGTCAAACTGAGTACATATACACGTTTTTAATACATTGTACTTGAGTATTAGCAGTTTTAACGGTGTTATATAGGGCTTTCCAATAGAATAATTTTTATTTTAGTTCAGTTTATGTATGTTAAACAACCTCCACAAAAGGAATTCATTTACTTCACAGAAGTATGTTATGCCAAATAGTCTCTAATGCTAAAAGATTTACGGACCCTAAACATTAACTCCTCAATTTATGCTCAGTAAACTAAAACCTGGTTACACTTTTCATTACTGATGACAATGATAAGAGAAGCCATAAGGTATGTATAGTGCCAAACATTTAGTGACAAAGTTGCTATTTATATGATGTTTTAAATAAAAACATTCAAATAGATTAGTTATCCAATACGTATACACCTGACTGTACATTATATAAGAACGATTTCATTGAACTAACAAAATCAAAGCTGTTGCCGAACTACAAGTTCCCTAAATTTAGTTGAAGATTCAATAATTTGACAGTAATACTGTCAAATAATACTTTTTCCTTGTGTAATAAATTAAGGGTAACCAATCGATTGGTGCAACCAACTTTAGAAGATATGAAACCAAAATATCAAATTACACAGTTGATTCGATAAAATACGACTGTTTGCATTAATCCAAATCATTTCTTGTATGAACAAACGTTTTAGTGTTGTAAGTTAAGTTTACTTGTAGTAAACATTTAAATTATTTAAATTACTCAGGAGATTATACTTCTACAAATGTTACATTTATAAGACATTTTTCGTCTTACGATCATCTTCAGCATCGTTGTTCAGTAACTTTTTTAAGAAAAAACTTTGATATATTACCAATATCAACAGGATTTTTGTGAAGATTCTAAAAATTTTATGGTTTAATTCATGAGTCGATTGAAGCTAGACCACCATCGAAAACCTGGAAGCACTGGACGGTCGTTTCGTACTAGTATGAGACTCCTCAGCAGTGCGCATCCACAATCCCCCTCCGCGAGATTCGAACCCAAGACCTGTCAGTCTCGCGTGCGAATGCTTAACCTTTAGACCATTGATCCAGCATCCAATGGTGTTAATGTCTAGCTTCAACCAATCCACAAAATTGAGCAGCCGTTGAAGTTAGGCAATAACACCTTTGAAAGCCGGTTCAGTGGTCTAAAGGTTAAGCGCTCACGTGTGAGAATGATAGGTCCTGGGTTCAAATTAGCGGGGCGAGATCGTTGATGCTCAGGAGTCCCACACTAGGACGAAAAGGCCGTCCAATGCTTGAGGGTTATCTGTGATGGTCTAGCTGCAATTGACTCATGAATTCAACTATAATATTAACAATACTTTCTAGGCTCTTTATCCAATAGGAATTACATAATAATTCACTTGTTTATAAAACTAATTGTTCACGTACCTAGAATTTCTATTTGTTCTATTACTTCTTTCAGACTTTGAACTTTCATTTATTAGCACACCTTTAATTTGTCGTTTATCATTGATTTCTTTCTTGTCCTTGTATTTGCAAATGCTACGATTTTCATGTTGCTGTGAACGATGTGTCTGAATTCCTTTATTATCTACACCTTGGTTCTCGGTTTTTACGTCTATTTGTTTAATATTGTCATTAGCTTTTGTAACATGTACATGATTTCTAATTGCCGGTTTGACAATTTGAATTGGCATTGGTTTTGATAAATTAGGTTGTGAGTTTGTGAATGTAGCTTTAGGATGACTCCTATCTGAATATATATTTTTTGTAATAATTTCTGCACATTGGTTAGAACAGTCGTTGGAAGTATTAGTCCTTGAAGCAACTGTTGAAGGCACAAAATCGGGAGCTAAGCAACATTCTTTGCAAAAATTTAATTTATTTACCAGAAGACTTTGTTGAGAATATGACTGATTATTTACTAATTTTTCATTCACTACGTTTAATTGATTGTTTATTTCAGTGGCCAGACTTTCCCGTTGGTTTACCTTGTCGCTTACCTCATAATGTTTTTGAAAATTCCATTCATCAATCGCTTGGCGAGCTTGTAATAAACGATCAGAAAATCTGTCACGTGTCTTGCTGGAAGTTGCCAATCGAGGGTTATTGTGCATTTCATTATTATCTAGGGAGTTTTTTAACTTTGATTCTTTCCGTTCATAACCTTTCGTTTGTTCTGTTTCACAAGTGTTTGATGAATCAAGGTTAGATATTTTCATACTTTTTGGTATATTATGAAAATAAGCAGATTCTAATGGATTTATCAGTTCTGTTTCATGTGATATAGCTGGAATTAGTAAGCCGCTGTTCAGTAATTTGCTCGTATCTGAAGAAGAGATAGATGGAAATAGATTTTTATTATCTAAGTAGTATGAAGAAGAACTTGATGCAGGCTGAGGAGGTGGAAGTAGATCTGTTCTAGTACTGATGCAGGGAGGCTTGCTGAAAGTAGTGTGATTGTAGAATTGATAGTCATCTTTTAGACATTCATTTGGATCATCTTTCTAATGATGAGGTTGTTATCCAATAAAGTATAAAAAATTAAAACTATTTATTAGCTTTGTTGGATAGAAAAAATGTACTTTATAATGTCAAGACTAATTAGATACGCGGTAAATATGTTTTTCCTAGGTTGGAAGGAGTTTTTTAGTGGATGTTGGAGACAATAATAAACTACACAATTTACTCTTTCTTTCTTTATATAGTCACAGATTTAAACTAATGTGCATGCAAAATACTTACAAACAGCATCTGTGAAAGAAATAACATTTCGTATTTTGACTTAAATGTAACTGAATCTCATATAGAATAACTTTACGAATGAAATAACAATGATAGCATGTTTACTTGAATATCGTTTCACGTTATTGATTTTTTAAACATCGTCAGCTACTACATTTCAAAGGAGTTGACTTTTCGGCTAAAATATTACCGATGTTTCCATCTGTAAAGTGCATTTGCTTAGGAATGACACGTTTAAAATTGAACATGTAAAATAAAGAGAATATAGGAATAAACATATTTCCACTGTATGATAAATCACAATAAGAAAATAACTTTGAAAATACACGTGACGATTATGCTTTACTCAACACCATTAGCAACGTCAAAAATGCTGCCATCCAAATTGTGATATCTACTAGTGAGAAATCCCAGTAAATCAAACTAGCCTAGAACAACCAAGTAATTTCGTTCAGCTTAATTAAGCTTATCATATTACATATATTATATATAATACTTTCTTATGCCTTGGAACCATAACAATATTCATCGTATCAGATAATCTGACTACTGAAATACTAAATAATGTATATGTTTATTAAGGAAATACTAGTATAATTATTAGCTTATGATCAATTCTACTACATTAAAGTTGGACAAATACGCCTTTGGATTTATTTGGAGAAACTATAGGAATTTTCTCTCACAGATGTGACATATTTCGTTAATATTACATTACTGATAGTGTGATGTGGTCTACTTATATACACATAAGTAGTATATGGTGATGGTCAGACATAGAATGTATTTTGGAAGAAGATTAATAGAGAACAAACAGGAATGAAGCGCGATCGGTACGAAAATGCATGAACAATAAAATCAGAGAAGACAGACTGAGATTTGCAGAAGGAACAGTTAAGATTGAGACAATTGATTGTTATTTAGCAAATTAACTGTTTACTGCATGGTTATCAGAATTTAGTGAGATGGCCTGTAATTTATGCTTACATGCATTAGATTGTCCTCACCCGTGTTCTTATTCACTACAATAGATGTGTATTTATTTGCCATTTAAAAAGTAATAATCCGAAAGAAAACTATTTCACTTCAGATTCATTATTGTTTTTCTCCAAAAAGCCTTTTATTACAGATATACTTGCAGGTGAATTAGTAATAACATTTATCTTAATGAATAAAAATGATATTGTCGATTCCATTTACTATACATGAAATCAAAGGTATGTCATTGATTCAGTCACATGAACCATATAAAAGTAAATGTACTTTATTGAATGCTACCTTCGTAGTATCTTTTTTAATTACAAGTCATTAAGAAGAAAGTAGGTTGCTTCTATACATATCACTTAATAAAGGATTATTAAAATAATGTTTAACAGAAAAAGTGGTAAATGGGTAGTATACACACTAATGTATATACATTGTCTTTAAAATTCTCCTTCAACTATTCTAGTTAGTTTATTACCCCCAACGAAGTATCTTACAATTGCCAATAATTTGGCTGCAATTTCTTTGATGTGATAAAAGGCTAATTTTTTAAATAATATATTCTTGTTACGTATTAAGGTAGACCATAACTAACCTTGACAGAGGGACGATTGTGTAACTCTGACCAATACTGTGATTCCATAGGTAATATTGAAGAATTAAGTGCAGAATCATTTTTTAGTTCAAAGTCCTTTTTATATAAATTATCTGAATTTGTGTTAGGTACTTGGCAGACAGATTGCTGAAATGTTCGTTTAAAGATTGTAGCTGCTGTCATTGCTGCTATCATTGCCAATGCTGAAACATTGGATGTAGTATTTGAAATTACATTATCAGCGTAATTACAACTATCGTTATTAGAATAAGTAGGTAATGAATTATGTTTCATGAATGTTGATAAACAAAACTCATGATCTAGTCTATTATTACTCAATTTTTCCTGTGATTCTGCATTGAAACTGGTTTGACATTCACGATCAACCAATGATCTCATCATGTTTGAATTTAATGGGAAACTGCCAGAACAATGTTTTATTGTATGAGATAACCATGAAGATGTATGAAGATCTGGTGTTTTATCAACGAGAGGATGTGAAATATTTTCACGACATTCATAGCAAACTTGATTGTCAGTCTCTTGATAAAGGTTTTCATTTTTTGATTTCATCTTCTGTGTTTCATATAGCTGCTGCATATGATGCATAAGTACCAATCTCGATTGCTGAATATGAAAATGTAAATAAATAATTTTAAGACAGATTTTTGAAAAAAGTAAAATTACAAAGTTGCTTTAGCATATTTAACATGAGCTGTATTCGTTCTATATAATTTGTGGTAAAAAATAAGTTTGTTACTTATTTCACTAAACCTATCTTAAAAGGAAACTATATATTGAAAGCGTGAGTCAATTGAAGCTAGACCACAATGGAAAACATAGAATCACTGAACGTCCAATTCGTGCTATTGTGGGACTCCTCAGCAGTGCGCATCCACGATACTGCCTCGCGACATTCGAACCCAGGATCTACCAGCTTCGCGCCAGAGCACCGATACACCACTGAGCAGGCATCCAACGGCGTTAATGTCTAACTCCAACTGATCCACGAAGTTGAGCAACCGTTCACCAATTATCTTCAGTGAGTTGATATCTCTTAACAGACGTGGTTTGAACTCCACTGGTCATTGCTTCTCACTAGAACACCTGGATTTACCTCTCGAAGTCAGTTGCTAGTGAGCATATTATTATTATCAGAAAGGGTTTTGTGGAGATTTAGTATTTTCATAGTTGTAAGCTTGAATCAATTGAAGCTAGACCATCATCGAAAACCTGGACGGCCACTTCTTCCTATTATAGGACTCCTCAGAAGTGCGCATCCACGATCCCGCACCCGCGAGATTTGAACCCAGGACCTACTAGCTTCGCGGACGAAACGGCCGTCCAGTGCTTCCAGGTTTTCCATGGTGGTGTAGCTTCAATTGACTCACGCTTTCAACTATGAAAATACTAAGTCGCCACAAAACCCCTTCTGAATCTATATATCACCAAAAAAGTAAGATGCCATTATAAATTTGGTACTTTTGATAACTTTAAATGAATGTTAACAAGATAAGTTCTTAAATAAAAACATTATAAGCTTCGAAATTTACATAATTTCCACATTGATCACGTGTATAATGAATTTTTACTATTAACGATACCTAATGCATGTACGTTGTCTTTATTTACACTCCTTCTAGAACCATTTCATCATTGTAACTAAAAGATAAAGGTTGACTTCATATATGCTTATTATTCTCATTCTTATCACGTTACTCAGAAGAAACTATCTAAAATCTAATGGAAGGCTTTCGTATTTTTAAATACCTTAAAGTAAATATCAATCAAGACAAATAAATTTCTTATATCTAACGAATTAGATAGTTGATGTAAATCACGCCCAAATAATAAACAATAATACAATTATCAAGTTATTTTTTTGCAATAAATAAGTTATTTGTCAATCACACCCTTGATTATTAAATTCTCTCTTTAACGAAAATTTTTTTAAAATTGTATCATTCAGTAAATGAATGAAAGATGGCCAAATTATATGTAGAAGTACTTTTCATATCATTTATGGATATTATTCAAAACTGCCCCCAAATGCCCTGGTACGCCCAGTAATGAAGAGGGGCCGCCCTCTCTCTCAAAATGCTCTCACACGGCCACGCGTATATAGCCTCTACCAGGGAAATCCTACTAACCGACTTCTCGTAGCAGGGATGTTGTTTACGAAATTAAGAGGACGAAAAACGAATGTACGTCGCTTTAGCCGGGTTGGTGCACACGTAAAGTTCACCTAGGGGAGTTGGAAAACCCTGATTCCAAACTAATGGTGCACATAGGCTCCAGTATCCTGAGGGAACAAATGGCCTATGAACCTATCGTTGGTCACCGTCTACCATGGGACTGCATCTCCTAAAGTTCGTCCACTTCTTTGTGGATTATATCTTTAGGTCAAAGGCTCCAGGTGTAGCCCTCAAGAAAACCACCTGCATTGGGTCTGGTCACCCGGGCAGTATCATAGAGCTCACACAATTAAATGAGATGACATTTTTGTGTCGCGCATATATATCTGGTGCCCCCTTATATCAATATTGATGTGTACAAATAAATAAATAATTGCAAAACTGAAAGAATCGCTTTTCTTTTTTTTCTTAGTTGAAGGGAAAACAAAAATATGTCTTGTATATAAAGTCCAAAATTTATTATGGTTGAAATTTTCACGGACTTCTGTATGATGACCCTGTTGTATTCTTTACTTAATTTTATATTGATGATAAACCAAATGGTAATATATTTTAACACTATATTAATATTAATCTAATGTTTCTAATCAAACAACTACCAGATTAAAGTTTATTATTATTATGAAAACAACACTTGAACAAATCGATTGAGTACACTATTAATTATAACTGTTTAAAACACTTAGTCCCTTTAATAAATTTTGATAATACAATGAGATAACTTTCGTTTTCTCATGGCATTATAGAAAGTTATTATAGAAAGTTATTTTAGTATCGGTTGTTATGTTAAGCCCATATACTTTATTCTAGCTACTGGCCAAGCCAATTCACCTATACATTATGAGTCATATTTTGATCTTGTTCATTGTTCGCTTGTTAACCTTGACTACTTTTTATATGAGCGTATGTATGTGCACACATTGTATCTTATTCATCATATGTCTATCATTCATTTTTGTCTGACTATAAATGTTTATCAATGCTTGCTTTATTAATGCTTAAAATGAGTTGGCTTCCCAGCCATCTCCACTATGCATCATCTTCGCTTCTCTCGCTTATGCTTGCTCATGTGCCCACAGCTTTCTGGTCTGCATCATTCATCAATAAAAATGTAGTTGCCGACTTCCTTTTGCCTTCAGATTTTATACACCGTTAAGTCTGGTATAATAACGGTTATCGTAGCGAACTATTATTGAAGCAAGGCACTACATTATAACTTGAATCGGGTTTAATACAGTTTACTAGTTAGACTGAATGATATATATACTTGTATCAACTGTTCTATTGCATGTGATGTACAATTTATGATAAATATTTATTTTCCATTCTTATTTAACCAACGAATAATCGAACTAGGATGGATAAAAATTAAAAAAAAGAGAGAACAAACCTTATTTTGTATTTCAGTCAAAAATTTACAATTTTGTTTTTCCGTTTTTTTTCTTATATTTTATTAACACGAACGTTTTACAAAAGACACTGGTCAAATTTGTTTGATTATAAATATTCAGTATGATCGTCTTTCTGATTTACTAAACTACACAAAACAAAATTTAGCAGTAATTTTTCTGACAAGTTTAGTTTCATAGTTGAAATCATGAGTCAATTGAAGCTAGACCTCCAAGGAAAACCTGGAAGCACTGGACGGCCGTTTCGTCTTATTGTGGGACTTCTCAGCTGTGCGCACTTTAATATACAGTAATATTTATAAGCATATACGAAATTATTAAACCAATCAAGTTGGTTTATGATTCAATGATAACAGTAGAATAGATTAGACAACTAAAAATAATAATAAGTGAAAAGTACAAATTGGTAGTGTGATGACAGGTGTACTAGTTGTAATAAGAATAATTAAGGCTTGAATCAATGTTACATAATAGGAAATAGGTCAACGATTAGAAAAATATAGACACTGAAATACCATTCATAAAATTAATATAAGATTATGTAATAAGAAGTGTTCAGATAATTAGATCGTGAAGCGAATATTTGAAAAAATAAATAAATAATTGGTAGGGGGGAGGTGAAGAAAAATAAACGAAGAAAGAGTATGAAAAATAAAATTATTTATTAAGGTCAAGGGAGAGATAAGGATGTTACAAATTTCTTATGAACACAAAGGCTTGCATTGTTGGATCGAATTCTTATAGATTCTGCTATATGTAAGAGACGAGATAGAACCCCATAAGGAAAATTAGTAGGAATACGATAAATAACTTTAGCTGGTGATGTACTACGTGATAGACTGACTAGAGCAGTGAAGAGAACGTTTAATGCAGCCAACCTCTGTCTATCCTACTCGACCCGATCTTTGGTGATCCCCCGACTAAAGAACAAGTTACTGGTTATGCCACTTCTGTGTGCATCTATGAATTCATCTGCTCCTGTGGAGAAAGCTATATTGGGCGCACTACCAGACAACTGAACCAAAGAGTTAGTGAACACCTCCCTTCGCGGTTAGGAAAAGGTATGGTCAAGTCGATACGGAGCTCGATTCTTTCACACTTGATCGATAGCGGTCACATATAATTGACAGAAATCAGTCATTTAAAGTTATTTATCGTATTCCTACTAGTTTTCCTTATGAAGTTCTATCTCGTCTCTTACACATAGCAGAAGCTATAGGAATTCGATCCAACAATCCAAGTTTAGTTTCATAATATAAAATAATGGTCATGAACTTTTTGCAAAAAGAATATAGTTTTCAAATCAGAATTCTTTCAAAGATTTAAGATAAAGGAGGTTTGATAATAATAGTCATAATTTACTAATCAAGATGAGTGAAACACTTTCATTGTAATCTCTAAGCTTCTTAGATTGCTTTAGTATATTTCATTAATATACCATAGGACCTTAAAACGTTAAATAATTAAGTTGTTGTCTACTAAGCATGTTTTTCAAATTTAAAAATTAGTAATGTTTAATAATATCAGTGTTGTACTCATATCTAATTTCTGAAACAGTTTCCACATATCCAACGAATGATACGTTTGGGTTGTTTAATTAATGCAGTTTTTTACTGACGCTTAAATACTTTGGCAAAATAGTTGATATAACTGTTGATTTGCAAACCTTCAATTGATTTACATTGTTATGAAGTTAAACATCAGTTGAACTATATATATATAATAAAAGTAGTGTGTATCTGAAATGAATATTTATGGTCTATAGGACTTCATGAGTATATTTCACTTCATCTGCTTTAATGAAGCTAACTAAATCACACAAACCATCGATGCGTAATAAAATATAAAAGTCAACGAAAACTGGTTAAATACTGTTTCTCCCGTAGACAAAATAATACTAAAAACTTAATGAAACTACATATTATTATTGAAAACGTTTATCCATACTTTCCCGGCTCTGTGTACAAAAGAAGGGTATCTAATTTTGTCATATTCTGGATCGTACACTCTGTTTTGCAAAATGGCCAGAATATCTGAAATTAATTTTTTATGATTTCCGTTAATTGTTTTAACTTGTCAGAATTTACAAAGTAATTTCTATTTGGTTCAAAATGTTTTTGGTATTAAGCCCAACTATAATTTCAATTAGTATGTGTTATAGGGTGTGATAACCGGTTCACTTTATATTCGTCAAATAAATATTTGCTTGATCTTTGATAAATGGTGCTCAGTGTATATCCCTAAACAGTCGGTCCTATACCAGGATGAAGCAGCTGTCATGTACTACGCGATTGTCAATCACATTCAAAATAATATTGATCTTTGATGAATACCATCTAAACTTTTAATACTGTCTACGTTTTCTAATGTATTATCATAATTAAAGACAGACAAGTATTGATACACAAGAGTGGAACATACAATTTCTGTATTCATGTACGAAGTTTCAGCCCACAAAATCATTTCCAAAGAAGTTTCTTTTATAGCTTTCTATCTTATTCCCCATATCGCTGGAATTTTCGGAATTCAAGCATCTTCAAACAACTTACAGAGGAAATATTAAGCTAGGTCGTCTACTCAGCGTTCTCCATTAAGCTTTGCTTAACACGAAAATTCAATCTATGAAGTTGTGGGATTTGTATTTATTCATTCAAAAAAGAATAAAGATTTCTAATTGATTTATGTTCAATTAACTTGAATCATTAACAAATAAATCAAACTGCAACAGACGAAAGGGCCATTTAATTACTGAAAATACAAAGAACCATCACAACATAATCAATCACCTTCAAACTTTGTATCCTTGACATCAATTGCAATTGTCGATTTCTGAGAAATTCCATGCGTTCTGTTAACTGAACGTTATTCAGTTGGTATATTTGTTGTAAGCCTTCGAATGATGGATCATAGTCATTTTTACACAAGAAACTGTTATTGTGCATACTAGATGAAGAAGTGCTAGAACCAGAAATACTAGAGTTATGATGATGAACACTACTACATGAAGTTATTTTTCTTTGAAAAGCCTGAGGCGATTTGAAGGAACTTTGTGAAATATTTAAGTGTTCTTTTAAAAGACTTATAGCATCATTAGTTTTCCCACTTTCCGTTTGCAGTCTTTCTATTTCTTTTATAATTTCCCTGAAATTTGAAAATTAATTTATATATTCTATCAGATAACTGAAACAGAATACAAAACCATTTCATTTAAATGAAGAAAAGTGAATAATAATTCCTCAATTTTGGCATTTGGTACTTTAGCAAATTTAATGAAAATTTAAAACTCCATGTCAATAAACTGCTCAAGCAGTTTTCAATATAAGAATAAAATTATTTTTCTCAATAAGATTTTAGTAGTCAGACCATTTGATATGTTATGGGTGTTTAATATTGAAGTAATTAGCGAAGGAAAACGTAAAACAAACTACTTAACGTGATACATCAAATATGAAGATTTATAAAAATTTATGGATTACTCATCAGCTTAGTAACTGTGGCTATACCATTCATACACTAGTTTAGAACCCCTTGATATCACATTAACAAAGATATATTTTTGTTCGTTATGACCTACATTTTATATGCCGCAGTGTTACTAGTTATGATATTGCCATAAAGTATTGTTTAATATCTTACGTGTATAAGCGTGGATACTAGAATTAACAAAATCAATAGCCTCCTGACACATAATGTTTCTGTATAGAACAATACAAATCTTTAGTTTTTTTTATTGGTAAATGCCTTTTTATAACACCATTTTGTGTAGAGTCTACTAGGATATATTCTCTGGGCTATGAACATTAGATAGCGAAAAGTAATAATATAAAGTAATTTTTCTTTCTGACAAAGAAGTAACGTGACTGTTCTTTGTGAACTTGACTTGCGATTTTGTGGGGTTGATAAGACAAATTGATAAAACAGATTTCATGACTGATATTTGTTTTTCAAATAGCCACTACAATTATACTTGGCTAAGAACACTACACAATTTAGTAGTGGAAAGTTTTTATAGTTGATGAAATAAATACAATCAATGAATGAAATGTACATTGCAAATTTACTAAACCGGCTATAAATGCTTGAATTCACTTTACCAGCTATTATTATCCTTTTTAAAAAAAATTAATTACCATAATATGCATTTGTCTTGATGGAATGCAGTTTGAAATAATGAGATAAACGCGATGAGGTGTAATACAGTTCAACTCAGTGCATAAAATATCATCTTTACTAATAGTGTGTTCTAGTTCACTACTATGGTAATAATACGAATAGTTTTACAATGATTTGGGACGAACTACAGATCATTAGCATTATAAAAAGATATTTGAAAAATTAATAATGTGGGTGAAAACACAGTAAGCACTCAGGTTTTGTTTTAGCCAGAGTAGTATACATATAGTGTAGGTAGTATATGAATACTTAGAACATTAATAGAATACACGTAAGTAATTATTAGTTAAAGGGCATGTTCAGTATAACTTATGTTACTATACATAGTTTCAATTTTTAGGTTATCTTATTTCATATTTATTGCCTACATGTACTGGGATATCAAATTATATAGATCAATATAGTTCAAACGTTGAACAAGTAACATACTATCTATATTCAGTGAATACAGTTTTGGGCTTAAAAATGATATATCTGTCGTTTACCTTGATGTATTTTTTAAAATAATACACATTCCTATAAATATTCTTCAGAAGAAGATTTTTAGCTTCTGTAAATCTGAACTAAAGTTATTATGAATGATAAAGACGTGACTGACTTGAAAATGTATGCCGCAAATTATTTATCCTTACGTATAATCTTTACTTATTTCAATTGAGCAGAAACTTTTGCCGCTAATTTGATTATTGGTTAACACTTAGTTCATAAATTCTTTTCGGAGTATCAAGTCAACATACCTAGTTCTCTGGTTGAAATCATAAACATTCAATTTACGAAACGGATAATTTTTTTTATAATAAATAACCAAACGATCTAATAGAGTTTAATGAATACACTACCTGTTATAGGCTTCTATTTTAAGTATCATATTCTTTTGTTCCTCTGTGAAATTTGTTGAAGTGACACCATCAGTTGTATCATTATTGGAGATCTAAAATGAAATGAATTATATTTATATTTATTAAAGAATGCAATTTCAACAAAACACTAATTGTATTCTTCAATTGATAATAATAATAATAATCATATGGGCAGTTCAAACAATGATACTGGATGTATTTTTCCTTCAAAGTTTGGTTAACGCAACCAAAACAAATCAGGTTTTACATGGTGGTCTAGCTTCAATTGATTCATGATCTCAACTATTAAAATTACTATAATATTCACAAAACCCCTTCTGATAAAAAATTATGATTAGTTTTTCATGAATTATAATTGTAAAATCTTTGTTTGACATGCAGTACGTTATTTTTTGGTGTATAAGATACTACGAAAGTAAATATAAGACATCTGGATAATAATAAGAAAATAGGGAGTGTGAATCAACGTTTGAATCCGAATTTAAGGTTATGAGTAACTAAAAAGTATAAATAATGTGATACATTCATACAAATTCTTTGTTGAAATTTCTATAATGCCATCAAATTTCAGAAATCATACATTAATGAAATTTGAATACACTTTTAGTTTTTCATATTCACTTTCATGGAACTATAACATGGGGGGGGGGTTATAAATGAGTTCATAATATCAGATCCGACCTTCTCACACCAATTATTTTTCAAACAACAATAAGGGTTTCTGATGAAAAATCAATAACTTTGATCTGGCAGCCGTTTGCTCCTAAGATCATAATTTATCAACGTTTAGTTAATCATTGATGTTTATTGAATTTCTTTTCTGCATCATAAAGATGACCTTGAAGGTACTAAATTAGGTCAGGTAGTCTTTCCGTCAGAAATCACTAGTACTGATCCAGCTCTTTTAATGTCTAGTAGTGTCTTTTGTTATGTTAATCCCACACATAGCTTATTCTAGCTTCCGGACAAGTGAGTTTATTGATTCCTCTAAAGCTACTTTTTGACCTTGTTAATTATTCGCTTATCAACATTGTCTGTGTTTTTGTAAGTGTATGTGTGTGCATTTATTACCTTACTCATCACATGTCCGTAATGTATTTTTATGTGACCATAAATATAGATTCACGCTCGATTAAATTGAGCTGGCTGACACGCCATCCCAACTGCACTTTATTTCCTTTCGCTACATTTCTCTGATCGTCTGTCTGGATCAATGATTGTATGAAATATATGTATTTGATATTCATTTTGCGAAAGACAACTTAATATGACATTTTCAAACAATAAAACTGCATAAAATAGTTCCTAATGGCCAACTTATTTCTTATGTAAATTTGAGATGGTATCTCTGCACGAGTTTTATACCTTTCACCATCATGATGACATCTAAATCAAGGAATGCACCTAAAGTTGACTTCTGCTACTTAGTAAGTTAACTGAACTGCAATTTTGGCTCATAAAAGCAAGTCTGTTGACCACAGACATTCAGAAAATTAAAGGATGAATTATTAGGCAGCATATGAGTGGCAGCGTTTACAGTCTATTGGTATTTATTACTACACATATATAAGTTAAAAACATATCAAACAATGATTTCATGGGTCGGTAGCAGAAATTTTAATACTAAACACATGGTCATTATACAATACATGTAATACGACCGATGCAATGCCTATTTCAAATACTTAATGTCATATCTGTGTTGTCTTTTACTTATATTTGAAAACGAGGAACTACTACAGTTTCCATGACACGAAGTAAGAACATAAAAGACTGATACAAGTTGAGTTTTATTCACTCTAAAACACAACGATCCTAGTCGAAAATACACTCATTTATATATTGAGTGTATATCCCTAACTTGGAATCCGGAAGGGAAGCGGAAGAGAGGAAGGCCAAAGAACACACTACGCCGGGAAATAGAAGCCGATATGAAAAGGATGAATAGCAACTGGAAAGAACTGGAAAGGAAGGCTCAGGACAGAGTTGGATGGAGAATGCTGGTGAGCGGCCTATGCTCCTTCACAAGGGGTAACAGGCGTAAGTAAGTAAGTAAGTATATCCATTTTAACCAATAATTAGGAAAAAAGTCATATATACATATAATGACCAAAATTATAGCAAATTGCATGCAGCATGTCATCATGAACATAGTTAATGTTAGTATCGTATCTTCAATAAACATCATACTGAAATAAATCAATGTTATACTGAATAAAATGTCCCAGTAAAAATAATACATATATTGCTCTGAGTATTCATTATATTGAATTAAAAACGGTAGTTATGTAATATTGCCTTTTTATCCCATTATATCATGTGGAAAATCATTTCATTAAATGGATGAAAAATACAGCAAATGAGAATATAAAAACTAAACATTAAAATTTCCTGATTACCTTCATATATATTTGTTGTGTAATTAGATCATATTAATTCATTAAATAGGAATAATATATATTTGTAAAATCTCAGCGAATGAATTTGAAGTAAATCCAACGTTTCGTCTGGCAAATCCATTCAAATTCATTAGCTGAAATTTTACAAATATATTATTCCTATTTAATGTCTTACATTAACTCGGCGCTCAAATACTGCAAAACTATTCGCTCTAATTTAGACGAGAGTTCTTATATATAGATCATACTAAGATATGTATTAAATTGACTTAGTATTACTTGTTTGAATCTTCCGACTGATGTTTAGGACTGCAACTGATCAGTCTCTAATTGGCATATGTGTATACTGTGCGTATTGCCTCGACATATCCTTATTTTACAAGTATTGTAAGCAAAGATGGATAGTCGCTAGCAGTGGAATCCGGGACTCGTCAGCTGGATGTACCTGCATCTCAGAAACGATGTTCATCTAGTATTACTTGTTTGAATCTTCTCAATGATAGGTATCATTACCAAGTTTTAATTTGATAATTTTGAATAAATTGAGCATTGGGTAGATTGTTATAAATAAATAATATATTTGTAATATCCCAATGATATATCACAAAAATATTATATATATATATATATATATATATATATATATATATATATATATATATATTACAAATATATTATTTATTTACTTTCCGTTGATGTGTATACTGTGCGTATTGCCATCTGACGAGTCCCAAGTAGAACGAAACGCGCGTCCCGGATTCCCCTGCTGGCCATCCATGTTTAGGACCGCAACTGGTCAGTCTCTTATTATGTATTATTTATATTTATAATGACTCATTGATTATTATCGGTTAGAATAGTAATGAATAAGATTTTATTATCTAATATAACAATTTACATTTAACAAATCTGTATCGGTAAATCACTACTTCTTACGTTTTATTCGGTGAACATAAGTTAGGTTAAACAACAAAAGTATGTACAGAGGACTTTGTCTACGTATTAGTACAACTGCTTTTAGCTATGTACCCTATATTTATAAAATTAACCTGGTTATATTCATAACAACAAGAGCTAGAAGAACCAAACCTATTACATAGGTTGGTGATAAGGGGTTTCCAATAGAAGCATGTGAGAAGTAAATGTTTAGTCATTAACGTGAACCTTTTTTTAAAGAACCATCAAAATCCAGCGGCGACATTGCCAATGCCCATTGTCCGCTAAATCAAAGAATATCTTATCACTTCCTTTCAGTCTGTAATGTTCACTTACTATTCATTACGATTGGTTAAACAGTAATATTCCATTGCAATCATTCATTGATAACTTTCAATCTTTGGTTTTGCAGTTGTCTAATATTTATATAAATATTTAGGCACACTAGAGTTAAGCCTGATGGAGTTCCAACTGAAGATATTATTATTCTTCTCTGTGCTATCCCGATAGAACTAGTGTTAATATTTTTAATAATCTATCTTCACATTTTATAAAGTCTTTATGATTCTCAGTGTTTAAGAGCGAAAAATTTATGATAAAAACGAATGTGTAGCTATTTTACGCTATTTAAAAATAAATCATGCAACAAGCTTTGAAAAGATGGAATGTGGAATCTAGGACTTGTGTTTCGTTTCATTCAGCACTATTTATCTGGATGTACTTCCATCCCGGGTTAGAAACTTACTCTAGGATTCAAACCTAGTACCTTTTGTTCAAAGGATCAATGTATTATTCACTTAGCTACTGGATTCAGATAGTCATTCACTAAGACTGATCACAATGCAGTCGAAATATCAACATTGGGATAATCCGAATTATTACAAATCAAAGTAAGAAACTTCGAGTTTACAATAATGTTGAAAAAATTAATTTCTTTTATCTTGTTATTCAAAAACGACGTCCTTTATCATTTATCACAAATTATCAAAGGCTTCTAATTAAGATAAGTTTTATGTAGTAAAAGAAATCTGTGCATAGTTGTCATCAGTTACTTTGAAACAAAATACTTGAGAGTACTTAAATTTATTAGCGAGACTATAATTTATGGACGACCTTTGAGCTCAATTTAAGCGACCTTGAGGAATGTTAGCCAATCAGTAAACAGTCAGCATAGAGTAAAAATATATTATACAAAACTATACAATTAAAGTGGATACATCCTTTTATATGGTCCAAAAACTTGTCAAGGTTAGGAAAAGTTTCGAAGGTTCCAAAATCTCAATGCATAAGGTAGAGGAAGTCATCCACATGGCTCCTAAATAGTTGGTCTCTGGAACCATGATAAGGTTACAAAAACCCTCTCAGCCTCGACCACATAGCTTCAATATTGTTTGTGTGTACTCCGGTTGTGTCAGTTTATCATTCTTATTATGGGTATGTGGGTATGATACCGATTGGTTTCGTCCTTGATGATAGATGAGTTATGTATTCATATATTATTTCAACAAAAAGGAGCTTATTTTGTATAAGAATTGTTCTAAAAATGTTTTTACGGTTTAACCTCATAATTAAAGCAACAGGAATCCTCTTCGTTACATTAATCATCGTGGAAAAAAAGTATAGATCCTTCCACTAAGAACCTACTGGTTCCCATGATGAATCAATCTAAGCTAGACCATCAGTGAAAACACAGAAACATTGGACTGCCGATTTAACCTCTTGTGAAACTGCCCATT